TATATATACATTTTTTTTTTTGAGGAAGATTAGCCCTGAGCTAACATCCGCTGCCAATCCTCCTCTTTTTTCTGAGGAAGACTGGCCCTGAGCTAACATTCATGCTCCTCTTCCTCTGTTTTATGTGTGACGCCTGCCACAGCATGGCTTCACAAGCAGTGTGTAGGTCCACACCTGCGATCTGAACCAGCGGACCCTGGGCTGCCAAAGCGGAAGAACATGTGAACTTAACTGCTGTGCCACCAGACCAGCCCCTCTGGTTATATTTAAATGTGAATCTCTGAAAAATTGATTGGAAGCTCGGTGTGCATCAGCAAGCTTAACTTGGGCTTCACTTCAAGGAGCTTGGTTGGTATATCTATCTTTTCAAAGGGAACTACCAAATATCAGTATCTGTAGGCTTTGCTCTGAGGGAATAATATATTTTTTCAGAGAAGAGTCCTCTAAACAAGTTACATAGAGACATAAGCCTAGCTGCTGGAGGGGTAAAGGAGTTTGGGAATATCTCACCATTCCAGATACAGACCCTCCTTAATCTCCTTATTTTCAGTCTAACCACCTCACTTCTACTGTTATTGTGCTTCTTCAAGTCCAGAAATTCTCTGGTTTGGTGTTTCCAGAAAATAATTATCCTATCTCCTTTGTTCTTTATACAAATGCCTCTGATTTTCATGTTTTATCCTACATCCTACTCCCAGGCTAATCTTTCCATAAGTCTACTTTTAATATGGCATTCCTCTGATATGAAAGTGTTTATAAAAGTTACAAAGTATCACTACCTTAGTGAAACATTCAAAGTCCCTGAGAATGAAGCTCCAAGTTGCCTTTCAAACTTATCACTTTGTTTTTCAACATGAACTATTTGTTCTAAATGGGCCCACCTCCTCATTACCATGTAGACACCCCACTGAATTCTCACTTGAATACCTCAGTTAATCTAATTCCGTTTTTTTGGAATGCCTCTCCTTTCAGCTTAACCAAATTCTACATGTCCTTTTAGGTCTAAGTAAAGTTATAACTTCTCTACAAAATTCTTCTTAACTACTTTAGATTACATTGATCTCCATGCTTTCTCTAAACTCTATCTTTTTACTCAGTGTCATACAATTTAGCATTCATTAGTGTCCTAGTGATTTCATGTGTCTATTTTCCTAGACTAGGTTTTGCTGGGGACTCAGCCCACATATTATACTTCTTCCATGCCTCCCACAATGGTGGCAGTCAATAAATACTGTGTGATAGGTTTTGTATAAATAATATGCTATTACTAATACTTCTAACTTAAAACTATGGTTTGTCGATATTTTATGAGGAAATCAAATTGATTTTCACATAATTTGAAGACAGAAAAGATCAGGTAATTATGCTATCTGTTCTACAATTGAGGAAGTTGTGATAAAATTAGTTCCATAAGATCACAATTTATCCGTGATAGACTTGGAAAATAATTTCTGTTTTTATAGAGCCTGTCAAGTGATTCATCACAAGAACTTAAAAAGGAAACTACTCTCTCTTGGAACAGTAAAATTATACCTGGAAATGTAGAATTGTTATAGAAAGAAACAGAGTACAGCTGACTACTATTTCATATACTTTTATAGTTAAATGTACATATATGATTCAAATAATTTAATCTAAAATCAACATATGTGAAGGTACACCTATCTTAATGATAATATTGCTTTTAACTAATTATGCAATAATCTGAAAATGTGAATGTGACTTAAGGCACAATAATTTAAGGAATTAAAAAATTCCACCACAGAAGTGTACAATTTAGTAGTGTCTTAAGGCTGAAACTATTATCCCCCAAGAACAGTTGGTAAAATGCCTTAAGAAATTCAAAGAAGGAAATTATTAAATATCTTCTCATAATGAAATGATTTTAGGAGACCAAAAAAAAAGAGAAATATATTTGATAGCTAGTAAAACTGAAACTTTAAATTACATTTCACACTTCTAATGCATTTCAAACTAGGAATAGGCATAGTCTGAAAAACCAACTTCAAAAGACAATGTTCATCCAGGAGATATGCGTAGGTAAGTCTTGATTTGTAAACTGTTCTGAATTTACAAGTTGAAGGAATTATTTTGGGTAAAAATGGTAAAATTTACAGGTCATTGGATCAACAACATGAACTAAGCTTTGGTAATGATACCTATAAAACCTCAGAGGTTTTCAGTTCAACAGAGGGAAAAATCGAAGCTCAGACTGCATCCTTTGAAATCTTTCATGTATTTGTAGTTGCCTAGCTAATTTCTAAACAATTGGACCTTTTGAAGAAATAAGGATCCTTTAAAAAGAAGACAAACAAGGGGCCAGCCCTGGTGGCCTAGTGGTTATGTTCAGCATGCTCCACTTTGGCAGCCCAGGTTTGGTTCCCAGGTGCAGACCTACACCGCTCTGTTAGTGGCCATGCTGTGCTGGTGGCCCATATTCTAAAAAATAGAGGAAGACTGGCACAGATATTAGCTCAGGGCAAATCTTCCTCAGCAAAAAAAAAAAGAAAGAAAGAAAAAAGGAAAAAGAAGACAAACCAGATAAATTCCATAAATCCTAAATTTGCCATTTGGCCTGGGTCGGGTGAGCAGGTAAAAGATTTACATTAGCTGAGGAGTGGCCACAGTCAAAGACTGAGATTTCAACTATGTCAGCACCAAGATCTGAGAAACTTTTTTCACTCCTTTTCCAAGAGTTAGAGAATAGTATGTTGTGGTCAACTGCTGCCATTTTAGGGCTAAATATATGAGGAAATTTACTAATCGAAATTTAAGTACATGTTATTTTTGGAGCCACCACACTGGATGGATGAACAAATGGGGACCCTAGTGGAGCTTGTGGAAGTGGCTTATTTATTTTGCAACAAACAAAGGGTTAAAGAGATCTTTCTAAGAATTTAGCCTGAACATCAACTTTTTAATTTACTGCAATATTAGAGATATTTAGGATTCATACACATACACACGTACTTTTAGAAGACCCAGCAAACAGTCCTGTCTAGAAACTGAGGAAGTACATGGATAATGTTAGGAAGTCTCTCAAAGCTCCTAAAAATGTTGGACCTGTGGGCAAGGTGGAGGTCAAGTTATCTTGTTAAAATATATCACATCAAGGATGTGCTGGTAACAAAAGGTCTATTTTAGGAATATCTTATCAATCACATAAATAAAGCACAAAATATGACTGAACACAAAGAAAGATAAGTTCCACTGGAAGATGTTAAAAGTTTACTCATTGGTACAACAGCCTGAGAAACCAGTATTGTCAGGTTGCTGTGAAATACAAAAGTAATTTTGCATATATTCTATCATGAAAATTCCTTTTCTGAGTTGACTTAATTCAATAGTGAGGGACATTCCTCTCCATATTCTACCCCACATACATACACACAAACTTGCTTAATAAAATGCAATAAAGTCTACCTTAAACAGATTGCCTATTGGGATGCTCCACTGCATATTTTAAGATGCCTGACATGTTCCAACTTACCCTGTGTGATGGTAAGGGTGGAGGCCGTGAGACACTCCCTTTACTAGGTGTGTAAGGCTAGGTGGTAGGTTTGCCCTCCAGTCAAATAATTTTGAGCCTGCTTTTAAGGTGAGTAATGGCATTGAGAAGTACAATTTGAGTTATACTAAGTTTAAAACTTTCTGGAGCATATTTTGTATTCAGGTTTTAAAGTCTGATTAAAACTTTTATGAAAATAAATTATGAATTTTTAAATAATCCCATACTTTTGAATAGTATCCTAAGTCGAAGTTAAGAAGTATTATGGTTCTAAAAATATTAATTTAGCCTTGTAAACAGTCTCTGGAAAGTAATAATCTATGCCAGTTGAGGAGGTAACTAAATGGTACCTTCATAAGTAAATGTAGACTAGTTTAAACAAAATAATGAGGAAAAACTAGAATCCACTAAAATGATAGTTTATATTTAAATAGTAGATTAAAATATGTTTGCAATTACTACGGATTTGATGTTGTAGATTTATGGATAGAGCCACGGGTCTAAATTTCAAACAAGAATAGTTAGATCCAAAATAAATCACATTGTTAACAAGTAAGAATTTACATTGATACAGGATACTTAATTCCATAAAACAGTTATAATTATTAGTGGTACTGATGTAACTTAAATTATATGTATGAATAGAATATGACTAAATTTTTTATCACAAGCAAATAAAATTTTTCTAGGCAAATAGCATTTTTTAAGCCTATGAAAAAAGCTGAGGCATTTGTGCATTATTTTGTGATCAGTGGACACTAATTATTATATCCTATTGTGTTCTGAATCTAGACCCATTCAACATCTAGCTCACCTTGTCTCGACTCTAATAGTGTTGTCCAATAGAACTTTCTGTGATGGAAATGTTCTGTATCTATCTTGTCCCTATGACAACATGTGGCTATGGAGCACTTGAAATGTGGGTAGTGCAACTGAGGAACTGAATTTTTAATTTTGTTTAATTTTAATTAGTTTAGTTTATATTTAAATAGCCACAAGTGCCTAGTGGCTACCACATTAAACAGTGCAGCTTAGAGGGTTCAAAAAGTGACAGCAAACGTCTTATTATGTTAGGTCTAACTCTAGTCTGCTTGTTGATTTGCTGTTGAATAAGGATAGTATTCATAGATGCTTACTAGAGTGGTATGCTAAAAAACTTCTGTCCTATGGTTTTATCTTCATTCAAAAATATGATTAAATCTATGCCAGTAAATATCTAATACAACATTCGGACAAATCCAAACAATACCATCTGAAAAGATTTTTATTAGTGTTTATAGTATGTCAGTACAACTATACTGATTAATGAGGTACCTGGTGGCCTGTGTCAATCTGTCCAATGTTAGTTCTAGAATGACTAGAATTCAAACTATGAAATATCCACTCTTAAAAAGTTTCTGTTCATTACCTATCATAACACAAGAATACCAATTACTGCATAGCTTTCAGCTCCATTGGTTAAACATCGCAAAAGCATGTCAAACCATTTTACCTGACAGACATATTTGTTATTCCATTTGCTCAGCACACACTGACTGTTTTGCATCAGCTCCTGAAGGAAACCGAAAAAGAGAGAGTGCAGTTGGCTATATACATTGTCGTTATCAGTTAAAGTGCTTCTGATTTGCAAGCACAAAAAAAAAAACATCAGCGTGCCACACAAAGATGCAGCTGTTTTAGAACTCCTCACTGGACAAAAGCAAAGCTATCATCACCATGAGAGTTGATCCTTTATGAAAATTAAAGCTGCTGAAAGATGTTTTAAAACAGATTTGTTTGTTGCCATTTTTTAAACTTTTGGAAAGATACCTCCAACTCCTTGAGTGAGTCTCGAAGTTTTTCTGGGCGTCTGTTTTTAAGAGTCCATGGATAATCTCGTGCTGGCAAATAAAACACGTACTCTAGTTAGTTAAACACGATTTAAAAAGGAAACTGCTTAGCAGTGTGTCTTGGGAAGATTAAAATAAAACACCTCCTTAATTGAGAGGAAGTGGGCTTCATTTCCATCATCAAATGACAGCCTTTTGAAAGGCTTTGTCATAGGAACAGGATTTTTGCCATACAACAATCTCCGTGATCATAATTTTATGATGACAACCAACAAGACTTAGAGAATCCCTGAGAAAGTTTCCTAGGCCTGTGCATCTAGTACTTAACCATAGATGACCCACTCTTTACCATAGATTTAACTTTTTCATGTAAATAAGTAAACATTCGACCCAAAAGAAATTCCAAGCTCTGCAAGTAGCCTTTTCAGATTTAAAAATTCCTATGAGTAAATGAATATAGTGAGGAAAGAGATAAAATACAAAAAGTGGTACACTGAAAATGAATTTAAAATTAAGCATCAAAGCACCACATATTAAAACTAAAAGAAAATTGAAGGAAATCCAACTTTTAACCAATTAGGCACTAACAGTGCTCTTTTTTATTTAAAGTGATCTTCTTTAAAATCTACACAACAATTCAATAATGATAAGTCTTTGTTTTGTTTTAAATACATTTAATTAAAAGATAAAATTGTTTAGGAGAGTCATAATGTTAGCCTAGACAAACTAAAAATAGTTCTGTTTAAAAGAATTAACAAAATGCTAAATTCATAAAAAGATATTTATTTTATCATAAAAGTGAATTCATCTTTAAATTCTTCTAAATAATAATTATAAATAAGAGTTGTATATATGTGTGTGTGTGCGCTTTGTGTATGTATACATTTAATATACAGACATTTAAATTTTATAGAATTGCTATATATATTTCAGCAAATTAATTTCATCTTATAAACATAATTTATGATTGCAGAGCATATGTGTATATTTTAAAATCTACATTGCAGCTACTAATACAGTATTTTTAAAGATTAAATGTCAGCTTGACCATTTAAAATAAGAGTAGGAATTTCAGCTCTACCTATATTCAAGATAAAACAAATTATATTTAATTTTAAGTCATCAAAACCATATTACATTGCAGCCATATTACATATATGACATTTATACATTTGAGAACAGAAAAGACTACAGAGAATAAAATGTTAATACTGATTACAAATCTTATTTTCTTAAAATGGACAAAACATATTAATAATTTAGGCATTGCATGAATAATAAAATGCTATCAGAATTTAAACACAGTACACTTAAATATATTAAATAATATAAATATGGTTCATTAAGAAAGTTTATGTTTACATAAGCATACATCTTACCAAAACTGAATAGAGATTTTAATGGTCTAAATTAAAAATGCCTAACAAATATAATGCTTGTCATATGCTTAAGTACCTAAACAATGGGAATTTATAATTATAGGAAATTTGGAAGGAGTAACATTTGTGCAGAAAGCTTAGAATATTTTTTAAGACTGAATCTTCAGCAATATTTAAATTCCAGTTTTACAGTAATTCCAAAAAATTATAAAGTAAGCTTACATTCTGCCAGCTTCTGCTTTTCCTCTAAGTTACCATGGTCTGTCACTAATATTGTGGTAGAGGAGAGATGGAAAGAAGAAAAGAAAAGTGGAAATTATTTTTATTACCATATTTTGTATTTTTTATGCACATATATGTTATTACACACGTTAATGAGATTAATAAATTATGTTAAACTTTTAAAAAGGCAGTTGGAAAAAATGCCATCATTTGGATGTTTTCATCTCATAGAGGTATTTCTTAAATTTGCAGTGAAAAGGCTTCCATAGCACAACAGGTGAGCCAAGATCCTAAGCTTGCAATCTCATCAGATAGAGAAGGGAACTGCAACGGAGCCCAGAACAGAAGCTGCTTCAGTCTGTCATCAGAACCCTGAAGTCAGCCTATTAACCACTAAGCTAAGCACACAGGATGCCCACACAAGCCCCACTTCAACAGAGACCAAAACAGGAAGTAACTCTAGCTAGAAAGACCTTTTGGCCCATCATGAAACTTCTGGGATTAACAGGATTAATCAGATAAAGAAAATTGATCATTCACTCAGAAATGCCTATTTCAGATATCAGGTGAGGATCCGGGAGGCCAGCATCAGTGGGACCCATGCATTAACAATGCCCTCTACTGGGACACTGATAAATAAATGTGAATAGGCTGTCCAGTGATCAACCTGATCAGCAGTAAAATGAAAATTTTCATGTTCTTGTACAGCATTTTCTCAATATTGCTTTATTTTATACAGAATAGATATCGAGCTCAGCATTTTTCTAAAGAATTGAAGTGACTTTTCTTGAAATTCTGGAATTTATTTAAAGCTCATAAAACAGATTTTTTAATTGTCAGTATTTTATAGTCTAGAGTATTTGGTTTATAAAAATTAATTTAATAGAATAGATACTTTACCTGGTGGATCTTTCTTGTCATAATACTGATAGACCCCAATGTCTCTATCTATATAAAGGAAAAAATAACAGATTATAGTATGAAAAGCTCTAGAAAATAAGAAGCCCAACCATACTATATGGCAGGGAGTAGGGGTGGGGAGGTGGGGCAGGGAGGAGGACAGAAACAATTTCTTTACGTTACTAGAAATAAAATAGTTCAAAAGTATCTGGACATAGGTTCATTTATTCTAGGGATATGCAGGAACCGGCCAGTTTATCAGTCTAATTAGAAAAGATTTACAAAAAACTAGAATGGCATGAGGAAAGTAGTAGTAAAGAACTGAAATCAAGGATGACCAACTTTGCTCTTTCACACTTCCTCTGCTATTTTTCACAGGGCGCCACCAAAAGGAACTGCCACTAAGCAAAGCCAAATGAAATCAGTGGATGGAAGAAAATGCCCAAACTGTTAGATTCTGAGCTGTGGCTTTCTTTCCTCCGGCTTAGCTAGTATGGTGTTTAGGGGAAATGTGAAGGAAAGAAAGAGAATTAGAGGAAGGTATGGATAAATTATCTGAAGCTTGTTTCCAAACCAATTCAAATTCTGATGCTCTGCTGGAGCTATAAAAACAAAGCCAGGATTCCTACATGTTGAGAGTGATTTAACCAAGGAATCTGTTCTTGCAACTTAATTACAGGAGAACAAAATAATTGTGTCCATTTTCTCCCTATCTGTGAATAGGGAAATCTTTCTTTCTTTAAAGTACATTTGTTTCTTTCCATGCAAAATAATTCTAGCTACTAACAAAAGGATACAACTGTTTCTAAAGAAGTGGAAGCAGTACAGGCTGCCCCCTAGTGACTTACCACTCCAAACTTTGTCAAACTGAATGATGAAACTTTAAAAAAAAGTATTACAGCTGTAATTTTTTCAAACCTATTTTTTAAAAATAGTCAACTGTGTATTTATTGAAGCTCTATTTTATTCATTATGCCATTAATTTGGACATATAATTTTAAAGAATACAGTTTATTTCTATTGGTTAGGTTGAAAATATTTGATAAGGAGTGATTAAGAAAGGTTATGAGTAGGGCTCCTAGGGTACTGACATTTTATTTCTTGACTTGGGTGATGATTATACGGTGTGTTCACTTTTGGGTAGTTCAAAACATACCCTTATAATCTTTATACTTTTCAATACATATGTTATCCTTCAATAAAAAGGTTTTTCTTGAATCCAAGAACCATAGGCATTATGTACCCAGGCAATACTTTCTATTATAATATTCCATCATTCCATGCAACCAAATATTCACAACCCTAGAATAGAACTATGAAGATCATAAGGGGCTTAAATTCTGTGCACAAGTCTGACTTACTGCATCTGGCCCAGAGTGGGGCTGTCAAAACCCAATGAGGATGAGAAGGGCATCCAAATAAACAGACCTACCCCACATGGGTGTCAGACCCTAAACTGAATAAGGAAGGGGTCCACGCAGACAGTTGGCCTGAAGTGCTGTGTCAGAACCCTAGCAGGGTGAGAAGGACATTCACATGGAGCAATGACCTGGTGTGGGGTGTCAGAGGTTGAACAAGGTGAGGGGGACATCCACATATGGAGGCAGCCTAACATGGTGTGTTACAACCTACATGGGGTGAGAAAGGCATCCACACAGGGGAGGGAGTGACCACAGAGACAGGAGACTGATTGTATACAGGGTGATCGATTAAGTAAGTAAATAAATTAAAGATAGGAGAGCCCCAGCTTTCCCACTGTCTGAGAACACAAGTACAAATATAGAAAGGGAGAAAATTAGAATGAACCCTAGAATTGGAAGTACCACTGTGAACTCATGGTTTTCAACATACAGAGATAGATACAGAAATGAATGTGGATATATACATACATTCCCTAAGCTCTGCCCACTGAGAAGGCCTGGGAGCAATGATACTCCAGTAGCAATGGGTACACCTAAAGCAGACCTTGGGTTCTGGATACCATTCTCCTCTAAAAGGAGCCAAGGTCTTTAGAGAAGTGGCTGATTCCAGGGGTAGGGAAGGGAAAATATAATCAGAGCCTGGAGATCTTTTGAGCCAGAAAGAATGGAAATGCTCAAATACTGACGGGGACACATCACAAAGACACAGAAGCTAGCTTGAAAGGGGTCCCACTGGCCACATCAGGGATAATTTAAACACCAAAATTAATAATGATAGTAATGGATTAAAATCACTGAATAAAATAGGAAACCTGAGTCCAGAGGGACAAAATAAATAATAAATACATTTAAAGTTTAATGGGGAACAGGATATTTACATAATTTCAAGGTAGCTCCCCATAAAATACTAATTACTTCCAAAGAAGAAAGCAATTTTGCAACGGAGAAACCTAGCAGACACCACCTCAAGTGATAATGAACATCACCAGTAAAGGCACAAATGGAAACTGTGTACCAACTGATAGGATGCATTGAGAATACAGCATCACTTCTGTGATTTTCCCACCAAAAGTGCATACTCTGAACCTAATTGTGAGGAAACTTCAAAATATTCAAATGTAGGGACATCTGCAAAATAACTGGCATAAAACCTTCAAAAGTGTTAAGGTCACAAAAGTTTAAAAAAAAAAAACCTAAAATTAAAAGGATGAAGGATTTGTTCCAGAATGAAAGAGACCAAAGAGACGACGAATAGATGCAACATGGGTTCTGAACAAGATCTGTTTGCTAAAAAAGGACATTCATGGGACAATTGGTGAAACTCTGAGTATTAGATGGTAGTATTCTTATTGTTAATCTCCTTATTTTTATTGTTATACAGTAATAATGTGGGACAATATCCTTTCTATAGGAAATACATACTAACGTTTTTGAAGATGGAGGCATCGGGTCTGCAACTTACTCTCAAATCATTCAAGAAAAAAAAATTCTCAGGGTCGGCCCTGTTGCCAAGTGGTTAAGTTCATGCATTCTGATACAGCGGCCCAGTGTTTCGCTGGTTCGGATCCTGGGCACGGACATGGCACCGCTCATCAGGCCACGTTGAGGTGGTGTCCCATGTGCCACAACTAAAATATACAACTATATACTGGGGGGATTTGGGAGAAAAAGCAGAAAGAAAAAAAAAAGAGGAAGATTGGCAACAGATGTTAGGTCAGGGTAAATCGTCCCCAGCAAAAGAAAAAAGAAAGCTAACAGCACATTTTCATTAAGATTTAAATTTTCAGACATGTATATAGACTAATCACTGTTGTATTTTTAGTGCAAGAAACAGAAACATAAAATGCAACACAGGGGCCGGCCCCGTGGCCAAGTGGTTAAGTTCACGTGCTCCGCTTTGGCGGCCCAGGGTTTCGCCGGTTCAGATCCTGGGCGCGGACATAGCAACGCTTGTCAGGCCACGTTGAGGTGGCATCCCACATGCTGCAACTAAGATATACAACTATGTACCAGGGGGATTTGGGGAAACAAAGCAGGAAAAACAGACAAACAAACAAAACAAAACAAAAAGATTGGCAACAGTTGTTAGCTCAGGTGCCAGCCAATCTTAAAAAAAAAAAAAGGATTGTGCTGGTTATTGGTCTGCGATTAAAAAAAAAAATGTAACACAAATAAGGACCTTAATTGCTTCAAATCCCACTTTTTCCTTCTTTAAGAAAACTATATCTATCTGTAGGTGATTGAATGTATCTTCACACTTCTTTTTAAATAATATTTGCATTGACACTATTTTGAGTTTTCTAGAAAATATCACTAATTATGATATTACCAATTTGGGGCACACAAAGAAGTATTTTTGGTTACTTTTGGCTTTCAATCTTACTTTTTTAAATATCTAATTCAAACGTGCAGGGCTCTAAAATTCAGGTACTGCTAAAAGACTTTCAACATAAGCAACATTGCGACACTGTATATCTTCCAGCCCTCAGTAAGTGTCCCTGGAGATAACTAATCTCAATCCTTAGCTGTTTCTTGTATATACCTCCATATGTATAAATATGCTAGTCCTATTACTTCTTGATCTTCAGTTTTAGATCTATTGTCTCTCCACCACAGAAATTGAGAATTCAGTTATCTTTTACTGCAGTTTGCCCCTCCCCATCTCCAGACACTTCTTCACCATCCTCCCAACATAATTAGAGCACAATTTTTTCCTGTGTGTGTGTGAGGAAGATTGGCCCTGAGCTAACATCTGTTGCCAGTCTTCCTCTTTTTGCTTGAGGAAGATGGTCCCTGAGCTAACATCCATGCCAACCTTCCTCTACTCTGTATATGGGATGCTGCCACAGAATGGCTTGATGAGCAGTGCAGAGGTCCACACTTGGGATCCGAACCTGCAAACCCTGGGCCGCCGAAGCAGAGTACACAAACTTAAGCACTACACCACTGGGCCAACCCCTAGAGCACAATTTTTGGTTAAGTCAGTGCACTTACAAAGTTATGAATATATAAGTATTATTCACAACCGAACCATGGGGGACACTGTGATTGCATTTTGGTACATGTCTCCTCGTGCACTAGTGTCAGGGATTTCATTAGGGTATAGACCTAAGAATCAAATTATTGGTCAATAGGTGACATACATCTTCAACTACCCTAGATAATAACAAATTGTTTCCTAAAGCGGTTGGTCCAATTTATACTTTGGCCAGCAATGAAATAAGCTCACTTTCTCTGTTTTTTCTATTTTTGGAGAGAATTTCTTTTACTCTTTTGATTTAAAATTTTTTTTCTGCTACATATTTTTAATTTCCAAAAGATTAGTATAATTTTCCAGTGTTTCCTGAAGCTTCTGTATTTTGCTTCTTGTTGTTCATATTTAAAAGTAAGCACTAGAAAGCTGATTAGAAGCAGCTCTGTGTACATGAATAGAGCTTGCCAGCTGGTGGGCTTCACTGATTAGCCAGGGACAAGGCTGTTTCACTGGAGGATTCCCTCAAACGTCAATGTAGATAGGTCTCTCTGGGGCCCTGCTGTTACTCAGAGAGAACTCCTTCAAGCTTCTTCTTTCTTGGAAAGTGTACAACTGGCTGCAACATTCTCAGAACCAAGTGGGATTAGGAGGACCTAACCCATCAGTTAGGCCTTCAATCCATCTGCTTTCAGTTCAGCACTTCTCTCCTGTCTTCTTCCACTGAGGCTGATGTCCAAGTTTAGACTCTCCCTAATTAAATATTTCCACAGTATGAGAGGTGTCTCAGTACTTATGCAGGCTTTCAAGTCCCTTTGTTATCACTCTCATGCCTCATCCCCATTTCTGCAATATCTGGATTCTCAAATTTCTTTATCTTTCTAGAGTTTTGAGACACAAATTGGCCGTCATTGGAATTCTCCTGTGTAGACATTTGATACTGATATTTTTAAGCTTTGCTAATTCCTGCATCCTCTCCATCTTCCAAAAATTGTCCAGCTGCAATTGTCTCCTCTCCTATTCTCCTAGTCCTGTGGGTTTACGTCCTCTTTAATTCATTTACTCTCATTTTAAAGAATTTGGGGAGGAAGAAAGTGTGTGTTAAATCCACCTTGTTTACCTGGAAGTTCTATCCTTACACATTTTAAGCAAGGTAAATTTAATGAAATTATAATGACATTCATCTGTAATTATATATTTGATACAAAGAAACAATACTTTGCAAGGTAAACTATTTTCTCAGTAATGAGGCTAAAGACATATAAATAAAACTGTCTCCTAAATACAAGAGTTGCTTTGGATAATCAAAAAGGAAAAGATTTTTTAAAAGATGTTTCCTAATGATATGCTTTGTCCCATAATAGTAATAAGCATTGTTAAAACACACTTACATTACTCCCCTCCTCCAAAAATGTGAAATGCAAAGAACATGAATATAATTGCACATCTTAGCTGTATATTTGAAATATCATTTTAATATCAAACAGAAATGCCTTTACCATTCCTGACATACATCTATGCTGTTGCATGCAGCTGTAATTCATTTTCTAGCCTGCAAATATTTATAAATATAAATCAGTTATTATAAACAATCCCAGGGAAAAACTGAACATGGATGTATCTTAAGAGGAAACAAATATTATGCCAAAAAAAATTAAAGTTCACAACAGAAACTCTAACTCAAGGTGAAAAAAGTAAGTTAATTGGAGTAGCTAAAAGGAATTATTTTTCATTAGTCAATTTTTCATTAAGTATAAAGAAAATAATGCAACTCCAGCTGGAGAATCTAGGCTCTAACCTTTGCTAGTACTTATTTATAATGTTGTAACTTATATTTTAAAAGTATTGAAATTAATACAGAGCTCATTTACCCCCAATGTGTAAGGTATTCTTCAAAGACCACAGGTGCAGTTCAGTCAAGCAGAAAGACATCTGATGGCAGAAAAAATTCTCTGTCCTGTTTAAAAAATAATTAAAAAGAAGTGCCAATTAATTATCCTCTATTGTCAATAAAACCAAGATCCCTTAGAAATAATAGAAATAATCATTTGCCACTACTGAGATTTGAGATATGGTTCATTAGAATAAACACACTTTAATGTAGCCTTGGTTAACCATCCAGAAGTAAACTCTAGAAAAAAGGAAAAATATACTTCTTTTCCTAGATTTAGTATGTCATCACATTGAGAAATGTGGTAAGAAGAATATATATATTTGGGTTTTCAATAACATATGTTTAGTTTTTAAGGCTCTGAGTATATTTAGAATTATTTAGTAGTTAAGCATTTTAAAAAATATTTTTAAGGAAAGGAAACATCTGTTAGGTAATTATTAAGTACAAACACATTTTGTGGTGTATTTTTACTATACTAAGCAAATATCTACAATCTCCCACATACAAACAGGCTAATTAAAGTAAAATTTGCAAGGTAAATGGTATATAATTACTATTATAAGAAGCCCATTTACTTAGAAGTAAACTGTGTGAAACCACATTAGCATTCACATTAGTTTGTTAATCTGCATGCTATGACAGATCCAGATATTCTACTCTTAACTGCATTTAAAAAAAAAAAAAACAAGATAACAAAGATGTACATCCTGTATTTCCTCTAAGTTTTAATAGCAGCGGCTAGAGATGAATATTACTGATATTATTTTTATCAAGTAGAACCTCATCAATTTGAACTGATTGGGAGAAGACCAATCTGAATCAGAAAAAAAGTCAACATTTTACAAATATTGACACGAATTCATATAACTTTCAAATGTTTGCTTGGAAATATATAAAGTACTATATGTATACTTTACTATATATTAGAAATATATACAGTAAACTATCCACATTTTCTTTATAGAGATCATAAAAGAATTGTTCTTTCCAATAAACTTCTGAACAACAAAAGAAGTTTGAAAGATATTTTAAGACATATTTTAGATGGAGGAAAAAGCCCTCAGTTTCTTTAACATCAGGAGTGACTAAAAATATTTCCCTTAATATTCACATAGGTGATAATCCAAAATATTTTTAGACTTAGTACAAACTTCTTTGGTCCTTCCTTCACTTTTACATTTGACCTCAATGCACTTACAATCAAGAAACAGATGCATGTTCAACTAACAAGACACAGTGTGATAATTATTGAAATAGCAATGTGGCAGCATAAAAGAAGGGCCCACGCCTACCTCAAACAGCGAGGCTCTGAGAAAGCTACAGAGAAGTTGTGAAATGTTAGCAGGACCTCAAAGAAGCAGAGGATTTCACTAGTTGAATGATAATGATTAAAATAATAATGGTGATAACAGCAGATAATGCTACGTACTACATTGTGACAAGCATTGTTCTAAACATTTTATATGCATTAATTCATTTAATCCTCATAGCTACTCTTCGAAGTAACATTACTCCTATAATGAGGAAACTGAGGCACAGAGAGATCAGACAGTTAGCAGGTAATAGAGGCAGGTTTTGAATCTAAGCCGACTGGCTCCAGAGTCTGTACTCGCAACACTAGCACTCTACTGTACAGGGCTATACAGAGGTGTCAGAGAGAGACTATGCAGTAGTTTGAGTAAAAGGATGGCATGTCCCAGGGATGGAGGTAGATCACAATGTGTGGTGGAAAGTGACAGAAAAATAAGTTGAAAAGGGGAGCAGGAAAACAGGCTATAATAGTAAATTCTGGATTAATCTCAATTCACTCTCTTCCTTGTACTAAAGTGCCTTACAAGGTAGGAGACGAAACAAAGGATACTTCAATTCCCAGATCTGCCCTGCTCTAACCAGAAGCTGGCTGCCACTGTATACTGTCTGGGGTAGAAGAGCTAGTGGACTACACTACTACTGAAAGAGGCCACAGCTCCTTACTGGAAGGCAGCAGAGAAAAAGGGATATTAAGCTAATTACAAATTTTTCAGTTCAATTGAGTATTATTATAGAGTTGTCAGCTTGGGAGTGACTCTAGTGAGGCTGCCATTACTCAAAATATTTGCAAAGCCATGTTCTTTGGAATTTGCTTTCAGATAGTTTTATGAGGCTTACTTCTGAATTATTACTTTACAGTTATACTTTATTTAAAACGAAAATACTTACTGCATTAGAATATGTAAACTGCACCCTTCTCATTTGGATGGGTGAGGTCTGGAATGTTTGTTTAAAATATCAGTTAAATTAAATAAACATTTATTTTGCATTTATTGAGCTTAATGTGTGGATTCTAGACTCTAACCGCCTGGTTTCTTATCCTAACTTCTCGGCTTGCTGGCTAACTTGGACAAATTACTTAACTTCTCTTAAGGTCCCCCAGCTAAAAAATGGGTATAATAAAGTACCTACCTCAGGACTGTTTTGAGGGTGCCTTTATTCAATTACCTTATTGTTGCCATTGTTGTTGCTGCTGCTACTATACTCAATATGTCTAGCACCATGCAAATTTATAAGAAAAAACAGAAGTATTAAATATGATCTCAACTTATATAGTAATTTCACAAGGTGAAATGAATAAGTACTAAGTACAATAGGGGTTTTATGAAGGAAAAACATTTGTATGTGGAGAAGTTACTATACAAGAGGAAGTATTTGAATTAGGACATGCAAATGGATTAATATTTCACTGGGAATAGGCAAGAAAAGATCTGATGAAACAGGTGCATACTTCCTCTGATATTGAGAGTCAAAAGTAACAACTTCTTGACTATACTAGAAAATAAAAACTCACATTCCTCAATTTGGTGTTTATTCAAATACCAATAATTAAAATTTATGACAATTTGGGCAAAGACAAGGCTGAAGTTTAGCTGTTAGTAGCTGCATAAAAATGTTTTATCATGCAAATTAAATAGATAGCATTTTATAGCTGAAACCAAAAGAACCCCACTTTACTTACATATCAAAAGAAGACTGCACTTCAAATTCTATTTTTCAGTTTAAGTCAATTCACTAATGAAGAATTTGTCAAAACTTTCCCCTGATGTCAGAAATGGAGAGTATAGTTTTCTTTGTAACCCACATTGGCTATTTCTAAGAAATAGGAATGCTTTTAATGTGAAAACCAATAGGTTTACTGCCCATATCTTTACTAAGTTTGAAAGTCCTAAAACTACTCAGAAATTATGGAGTTTGGGGGAAAATAAGCAAAATGAGGTCTGTGGAGAGCTTCAAATGTCAAGTGCAAAGCCTCTGATCCTTTGCATTTGGACATAAGGGGAAATCGTGAGAATGGTACAGTGTAGTCTATGACCTAGACTCGTCGTTCAGCTCAGCACCCAAGGATTAATGTCTGTTCCAATGTGGGGTGAAAGGACTAAGAAAAATGTACAAGCTATTGCTCAAAATGCTCTGATATACAAACAATACTGTTCTAGTTTCCCACTAAAAGGTACAGGACAAAAGGTAGAGAGAGAGATTCTACTTTATAAAGGATCCCTTTGTGGCCCCACAGGGAACATTTGGTATAAGGGTAGTGAAGTAGCCATAGGTGGTGGTGCCCAGCAGAAAGTAAGCAGGACTGGTAGCCCTTTGGATTAATGTATGCACTGAGAGGGGTGGTATTAAGACAAAAGGAGGCAAAAGGAGACATGGTGGCCAACGAGTAATCTATGCCACCTGGAGAAATGGCAGCAATAATCAGTTGATGGAGAAGGCCAAGCAAGTAGAAGTTGAGGCAAGTGAGAAGAAAATGGCCAATGTTTGTTAGTAAATGATCAGACTTGTTTATGAACACGTGACAATTCCTGCGGACTCCCTAAAATATGCGTAATTGAGGAGGAGGCTCTGCAGGGGTCATGCATTAGCAGGGGGGCAAAACACAGCCAAATGTAGGTTATTCATCCTTCTTTTCCTCTGAACTTCAAATATCTGCTAGTGAGACCATATAAAACTAAACAGAATTAATGGAGTAAATAAAACAAACTTTTAAAAATCTATAATAATAACTAGGTGGGCATGGTGGGAGGGGACCAAAGCAATATCCTCTTTAGTCCTTAAGATGTCTTGCCATCTTTCCACTGTGTAGGTTTTTGCAAGATGCAGACCTTTAAACATCTTGCACCTTACTCAAGAATGCCACTAGTCAAAAAGAATGCTGGTAATTTCCTCGTTTGAAAAATCTGCCTGGAGGAAGTAGTCAAGACTGGGCTTGTTTTATTCAAATATTGTATTAGTGCATAAATAGTTGTTTTGAAGGAGAGAAGAAAAAAATTCTAGAAAAATGCTGCATTCTGCATTTTGGGAGTGGGGTGTGGGCAGGGATTAAAAAGGCAGTGAAATAGGGAGTGCCTAACAAAGTAAACTGAGAAATGCTGCCCCACTCAGTGCCCTTGTGCATCTCTCTGGGGATAAAACCCAATGCACACGACCTAGAACTATAGCAAAAGTAGCTATATAGGGGGAAAATGAATGAATAAAAAATATAGCAAAGAATTATCCAAATGAAAAGAATAGAAGGAAAAACCTAAACAACAAAATTGCCCATAATTTAATTTTCATTTATTTTAAAAAATCCTAACTTTTACAAGTTTCTGTTTAATTTTATAAGGTAGTTGACTACAGTCTCAGATGTCTCAGAAGGCCATTCTGAATCCAAACTTCCAGTCTCCATGAGAGAATAAGAAGCACAATTTAAATTGACGTTGACCTAAAACTAGATGGTTGTTCTCTTATAGGAGAGGAATTTATGATAGCTGAAATTTTGAGGACAGAGAGATGAAAGGACCCTAGAGAAGCTTCTTACTTTCTATTTACATCCTCAAAAAGTTTAAAGTCTTTTCTCCAAAATAGGTTACATTATAATAAATTAATATTTAGTTGCCTTAAAAATAAATGTTACCATACAGGCTAAATTTTAAGAAAGTAACTTGCGAAATAGAAACATCCGAACTAAGATGCTGTGACTTCTTATACTTGTATAATCTTTTTTTGAAAACTAAAAACTACGTTTTAGAGGTAAAGGTTACTTG